AAGTACTGGTGAAGTACAGTGAAGTACTGGTGAAGTACAGTGAAGTAGATTGAAGTACGAGTGAAGTGCTAGTGAAGTACGCACTCCTCAAGTCTCGCTTTTCTCCCCTTGGGAACAACAGATTATAACAATATTAAAATCATTCCATATACATCTAGCTTATTGCAAAATAAATGGAAGCAATAGTAATACCATTTATTACTCAATTATATGAAGAATATGATTCTGATCTCAGCTGTTCAAATTAATACGCATTGATCCGGTATATTTGTTAAACCCGATCAAGTGCATTTATAAGCGTTTTTTGTTGTATTTTATATTTTTTTAATATAACTAGAAAACAATAGTAGATTTTAATTTTTAGTGAAAAAAACAATGATAGATTCAACAATTTGTCAATAAATTTTTTTTGTCTAATTATCATAAGAAATTGTACAATAACCTGATTATAAAATGATACATACATATAAATAAAAACATGGTTATATTATATATTCTTGCTTCTTCATTAATCTTTTGTTTTTTCATTCTCTCTTTCTGTGTAGTTTTCCATGAGATTCACATGTTGGATTAAATCACCTGGGTTGTTTCTTGTTTGTTGATTATTCTGTTTTTGTTGTCTTCAAAAAATATTCGTTGTATTCGTACTATTGCTCGTCATTAAATTCGATTAATGACAAAAAAATAAGTTTCAACTACTTCGATATTTATTTTTTATGGATATTCTTTACATTCTCTTTATTATGTGTCAACGATATAGCATCGAAATCCGATAGCACTTCTGCAAATCTTTGGTAATTTTGTCCCTCAACTCCTTAGTTGTTTATATATTATAATCCATTTGATGTTAATTCTGTCATCTTTATATGCGCATCCAAAGCCTTTCGAAATCAAAAGGAAAAAGATTATCAACACATTTTTATAATACTGACAAAAAGAAGTGACACAACTGAATACACTAAGTAAACTATTGTTATTTGTAGTAATACCTGTCAAGAAATATTCTGCATGGTTGAGAATCAATTTAATCTCTTTTCGACATTGAGTAGATGGCACTTACTAAGACATCCATCAATGATTAAAATCTCAACTGTCTGTACTTGTGATGATGTTTCCTAATAATCATTTTCTCTTATACAAACAGCAAAAGGGATGTTTTTCTAATTTACATTATATAAAAGCTACTCCATGAATTTCTTTTCCTAAAGAATGCACTAGACTTTAATTATGAAATAGAAATCTTGACAGAAACATTTCCAATTCTTATATAAAGTGCTGTTTTATGTTAGTTTACTAAACTTTTTAGTAAACACGATTATAATGTCTTCAGAATCATATGTTATCGCACGATTAATATCCGTCCAGATGTACCTATATCAAATAGGTGGTCCAATATTTATGATCATTGGTAGTGTTAGTTGTATTCTTAATTTAATTATTTTTACAAAGAGAACTTTACGGAAAAATCCATGTTCAAACTATTTAATAGTATACAATCTTACTAATTTTCTCTTCATTTATACCACATTTATTCAAGCTGTATTATCGAATGGTTTTAATATAAATTATGCTGCACGCAGTTTAAGTTACTGCCACTTTAGTGTCTATATAGGATTTGTTGAAGATATTCTAAGTCCATTTTATTTGATTTTGGCTTCAGTTGATCGAGTATTAATTACTTCACGAAATGCTTTAACACGTCAACGCAGTACGCATCGTTTTGCCTACATCTGTCTTATTAGTGGAACAATATTTTGGATGTTATTTCATATTCATGCATTGATCTTAACAGATATTATAGAATTTCTACCTAATTATTTTATTTGTTATTTCAGTTCTAATGCCTATTTACAATTTACAAGTTATTATTCCCTGATAGTCAAAGCGATACTCGTTCCATTGTTTATGTTAATTTTTGGACTGTGGACCATAAAGAACATTGTGGCCGTAGGTCGCGCAAGAGTGGTTCCTGACTTATCAAGAACAGAAATAATAGGAAGAAATGTTTTACATACTCCTCATGCTAAAGATCGACAACTTTTTAAAATTCTATTTACCAATATTAGCATCTATCTTATCTTCAGCTTAATGTTATCGGTTATCCTAATGTATCAACATTTTACTGATTCCAGTTCCGAGAATCCAATGCAACGCCAACTCAGCATCTTTCTGTTGTATGTTAGTCTGTTTAGTAGTTACATTCCAAACTGTGTCGCATTTTATACCAATTTATTGGTTTCAAAAACTTTTAGAAACGAAACCAAAAAACTTTTTTTGCGCAACTAACTTATCCAATTCATCAAGAAAATAAATCTAAGACACGGCATAATCATATGTCGATAAGAAATAACAATTAAGTGTTGTACTGCCGAGTTTTTGTACTTATTGTTCTCTCTTTTTTTTCGTTGTATTGATGTTGTGATTCTTTAAAATAAATTCTCTTCATCGTCAACAATTTCTCAATATTCTCTTCAAAGAAAATTCTCTAGAAAATCAGTTGATGTTTCTACAAGATGATTCAAAGCCAGCAGGGAAAAGCGAATTCCGTATCTCAGTAGATTTCGATGAATTCTTGAGGGTGCGGGTGTGAACGAAATCATATATTCAACTAAGGTCCGCAACCACACCTATATTCACACCCACACTCACACCCACCCTCTATTATTCCTAGAGCTATGGATGCATATTTAAATCCATTTAATCATGAACGATCAATTAGAACAGATCAACCAGTTACAGAAGCTCCACCGTCAGACCTTACAAGTTATATTAGGTAAAGAACAAAAAAAAGAATTTCGAAACTAAATCATTTCGATATTTTTTTTATTTGTTTAGTTCGTCCGTTTTTGAAAATGATCAAAAACAAATTCATGAACTTCGACAAAAACTTTCTGCTACTGAAGATGAACGTACTGTAATTCGTGATCGACTTGATAATGTACAACGTGAATTTCGAAAAACATTAGATGAATGTGCAACAACATTATCAGCATATGAACGACAAATACAAACACTTGAACAAGAAAGATCTACACTTATTCAACAACATGAACTTCAAACAGCTGAAAGGTATTTAATTATTTTTATTTTTTATAATAAATATATATATATATTTATTCATTTTTAGTCAACAAGAAATTGAAGAATTACAAAAAGAAATCGCTCAATTAAAAAAATCGGCAATTAATCCATCTATAAAAATATATTCCAGTGATGAGTAAGTTTTTAAATTTTTAATAATTATGTGTTTTATTCAAATAAAAACTCTCTAGTATCCTATCATGGAAAAAAACAACTGGACCAGAATCGAAAGAACGACAAATATTAACTCAAAAATGTATAAATCTTATGACATATATTGGTTCAAATGCATATTTACAATCAGAATTCGATCAATTAAGGTAGATTGAATTATTTGAATATTATTCATTTATGTATTAATTTATATAAATGTTTTAGACACGTAGCCGAAGATCAGTTAACTAATTATGAAGATCAAATTGAAAAACTGATTCTTGATTGTATAAATCTTATAGAACAATATGAAAAAAAATGCACCGATGCTGCGAATCTCTGAAGTTCTTTAATTATTTTGTGCATGAGTAGTGGACCTGCGACGATCGCGCTCTAAATATAAGAGGCATATTGGATAATGATTATGTATTAGAATATTCACTTACCAGCTAATAATAATTCCAAGTCTACTTTATGAATCATTAATATCCCGCCATCTTTAACTAATTCAGTATATTGTTCATCTGATAATTTGTCTTCTTTGTATTCTACGATTCGGGTTTGTATCGACTCGTTTAGTCTTGAGATTTCTGCTTGAAGTGCTTCTTGAGGGTGGGAGAGGGTGTGGGTGTGGGTGTGGGTGTGAGTGTGGGTGTGAGTGTGGGTGCGGGTGTGGGTGTGGGTGTGGGTGTGAGTGTGGGTGCGGGTGTGGGTGTGGGTGTGGGTGTGAGGTGGAAATAATACTTACACCCTAGTTGAGAAGGGTGGGTGTGGATGTGGGTGTGAGTGCATGATAAATACAACCCACATTCATCCCAATCAACAATGACAACCACACCCGTACCCTCAAGAAAATATAATAGATAAATCGACCATAATGTAATTCAAATGATCGTGTGTAAAAACAAAAATTAGCTCCATTTTTTGGGATTTAGTTTAGCCTACAGAATAAACAATAAATAAGTAAATGTCTACATATATATGTATTCATAGACGAACGAGACACAAAAAAACTAGACTATCTAGAAACAAGACAGTATAGAGAGAAAATTCACTTACCCAAGACGATCATTGAGACCATCGAAAACGGCGTCTTGAGGGTATGGGTGCATGTTGCTTTGAATATTATACCCATTATATACCCTCACCCTAGTTGTTAATATTCTTGATAATTTAATTGTTGATTTTTGTATAACCATACCGTTTTCGATTAAACCTCGATGAATCCTGTGACCGAATCCGTTCACTAAAATACTGCTTCGATGAAATCTACGAAATTGTCTGGAACCAACCGTTTCTGGGCCGAATTGTTCGACCTGGGTAGATACATTAATTATATACCCTAATAGTAATCGATTTCTACTTGGCTTTTTAAAAATATCAATTCATCTATTGAAATTAAAATTTTTTAAAATCGAAAGTAATAATAAAATGGTTCCACCACCAGTTTATTATTATTTTCATTCAAACTTAATTAGTTCAATTGAAAATCTCGTTATTAATACGTATTTTTCAATTGAAACATTCTATGATGTACTTGGTGTAATGGATAAATTTCGTAGTTTATCCATTGATTTGCTGACGGATTCAAATGACTGGTATGAACCACGATCCAGTCTTAACCTTCCGTCGTTTAAAAATTTAAGAAAAATTTGTATTAAGCTGAAGAAAATTGATTTTAACAAATTTCAAAATATTGTTAAAAATGTTTTTAAATTTATTGAAATTTTATTCATTTCAATTGACGATAATGATGAAGAATATTTATATACAGAAATTGCGTATCTTTGGTATCTATCATAATGGTGTTGAACTACAAATTTAATTAGAATAGGATGAATTAATTTATGGATTCACTTCATCGTTTTGGATTCAGAAAAATTGATTTTTTACATATCAACATGATTGTTTTCAATCTTTTAATATCAAAGATTTCCATTCAATTCATCCATACAAGTATAAAAAGATTGACTGGAAGTCTGTTTTTTTATGGCTCTTTTTTTTATAGGAGAAAATACTACAAATTTCATTGGAAACTGAACAAAGAAATTCGGTCGTAAATTTTCTTATGTGTGCTACTCTACCGAACACAAGTTGTGGGAATTATTTTAAAAATATCAATCAATTAACAATAAACGGTTGTCCGGAAATACCTCATGAATCCATGACGATGATTCCTGAAGCAATATTTCGTGCATTTCCGGCTGAAACCCACAGGAAACGTATCGTTTCTGACCAAAACTAGCAGGATAATATCAAGAATTCGACGCAGGAAGGGTGTGGGTGTTGTTCTTATCTCACACCCACCCTTAACGGATGAACAGTATCATTTGAACACAAAAGACATGAAACATCTATTAATGGACATGATTAATGATATACGATATCGTATACGTTGTATTGAAAAATATTCATCCATCAAGATCATTCGGCCAATGCTCATCACACAACAGCGAAAACAAGAAGAAGATGAATTATGGAAATTTGTTCGTGCAGTGTACAGTACTCTTTCTATAATGAATATTATCACTGTATTCATAATATTTGGTGGCTCCAAAACATTGACCGTTGTTGCATTATTTTATTCATCACTTATGTATGTTTCGGTGTATATGTCGCCGTCAAAGGCTATACGATAAATCCGGCCACCGCATCCGTTCAACTGGAATAATGTTTCCATGAAATCTCCGAAATACGACGGAACCGGCCGTTTCCGTGCCAGATTTTTCAACCTGGACTCTATTCTCATCATTGTTGAGTTGATGACAAAACTTTTTAACTACCGTATGTATTTTTTATCATAGTCATATATTTTAGATTAATTTTTTTACTTTATCATGTCCAGTTACTCTGATGCTTTAAAATCGAAAAAATCTTTTAGTACAATGGTAAGTATTACACATATACAGAAGACAATAAACTTTTCCTATTTTTCTTATAAAAGAGAAGAAATTTCAGTAATTATTGTTTCTGTTTGTAGAAACTCCAACCTCGGAATCACATCATATACCAAAATTATAATACGATATTATTCGTCGGTTTTATTTTAATTATTATTTACAATCAAGTATTTTTGATGTTTTATCCTGTGATGCTAGATACTCACCATTTGTCCTTTCAATACAATATACAGAAAGTGGTAACTTCATATCTCGCGAGAGATGTTCATTAAATTAATATAAATATTGATAAATATGTATAAAACTCTCTCATTTGATTTTTTTTGTTATTATTGTGTATATTTGAATAGTTTGATGTAAATAGTATCCGTCCTTGTTCTACTTTAAATAAATGTAACAAGTAATGCGATACAACGTTTAACAAATTTCATGTCATTTCTCCTTAATGTAGAAGCAAGTTTATATATACAGAGGAAGATAATTTAATATTTTCATTCATAAAAAAAAACAATTATTAACAATTCGAAAAAAAAAGACAAGATGGAAAGCACCGTATTAAATGGCAAAAAAAAAGAATAAAACTTTTCAGGGAAGAAAAAGAAGAATAGTTTTTAATTTAAGTTTGCATTAGTTTTTGTCCATTAGTTCCTGTTGTTGTTGTTGAATGTTGAGTTTTACTAGGTGATATATGATGTGGTGATTCAGATGATTTAGCAAATGCTTGTCTTGTTGTACTTGCTGATGTTAAATTTCCATGTGAATGATAATTAATTACATTAGATTTATTAGTATTACTTGTATTTGATGTTGATGGATAAAATCTTAATGGTGGTGATTGTTGTTGAGTAGTAGGTGATACACTCTCAACATTTTTTGATGATTTACTACTAGAAGAACTAATACGAGAATGTAGAGCAGAATTTTTTAAGAATAAACCAATTGCTTTTACAGTTACTGATGGAGCTAAAAATAAATGAATGATAAATCAATATAAAATCATTTTTCTTTTTTTTTCTTATGTAACCATTGAAAATGAAAGTTTATTATTGTTGTTATTATTATTATTATTATTATTATTATGAAGTTTTATTTTTTCTTTTACTTTTTTACTTATCAATTTTGATTCGAAACAACTTGAATGGCTTTTTCTCTCTTTTAAAAAACATTGCAAAGTTAACGAAAAAAGTAATGAAAATAAACATTAATAAAAAATGTCGAAGAATATATTTTATATAAAGAAGGACGATTTTTTCAAGAGCTTAAATGAAAATAAAGAAATTTAAACATACCAGGATTATATCGCACCGGAGAATGTTGTTGAGATCTTTTCATATGTTCAACATTTGACGCACGACTAAGAGTTTTCGGTGTACGAGTACCACTAGCTAATGGATCATGTGGCAAATGAAAACCATTCTGATTTGCATGATCAAGTGTAGAATTAGGTAAACTACGAGGTTTCATTTTATGTTGTTGCTGCTGATGTTGTTGTTGTTGTGGGTGTGCATGTGGAGATATGACATTACTACGATGCCCAGTAACTAAAGGTTTCATTAGTGTTAAACCGCTCGAATTTTGCGTTCGTTTTATATTATTATGTTCATCTGTTAGATCAACACTATTTCCAATAGCTGATGGTTTTCTCATGATAATATCATGAAATAATTTTCTAGAAGTTGCCTTTGATGTCGGTACTAACTCGTTGTACGCTTCCTGTGTTAAACCACCCGTAATAATATTACCATTTGTATTCGTATGTAATATAACATGTTCATCAAATCCATAATTAGATTTATCACGTGATAATCGTCGTCCATTTGTTGGTATTGAATTTGTTTGTTGAGGTAAAAGATGCGATGGTACACGACGACCAGGAAGTAATGGTTCGTTATGAACAAGTTTATCAAGTACAATAACATCTGGTGAACCATCATGTAAAGTAGCATCACCTGTTGTTGATAATGATGAATGAATATTAATAGTATGATTATATGTAGGATCTGGCCAACTTAAACCTTGTTTAAGACGTCTTTCGATTAAATTATATAGAGCACGAGATGCAATTGGTTTTCGATATATTACAGCATCTTCAACATCATGTTCTGAATATCCATGTCTGACAAAAGAAAAAGAAGAAGTGAAGTTACTCATTTTTTAAATTTCTCTTCTATACACTTACTTAATTGCAAGATATTTAGTTATATTTCGATTAATTTCTCTTGCATCAGCTTGTGGTTTATAAGGCATTAATTCAATAGGTCCTAATTGACTGATTAAAAATGGATGACGAAGAATTTCTGCCATTGTTATTCGTTTTGTAGGTGATGGTTCTAATAATCTTGTTAATAAATCTTGACAATCTGAACAAAATAAATACATTTTAATACAATAGAAACTATATAATGATATTTTTCATTACCACGTGAAAGTGTAGTAGGTATTTCACATCCTTTCAATATACATGCATGAAGTTTAGCAAGATTTCGACTACGATGTTCAACTTTAAATGGAAGTTTACCAAGTAGCATAGCATACATATTCACACCGATACTCCATACATCAACTGCTGGACCATATTCTTGATGAGCAAAAATCTCTGGAGCTGCATAACTATACATAGATATCGATATTAAAGAAATATTTTTTATTCTTTTTGACAAAAAAACTTACGCAGGTGAACCACATTGAGTAGTTAAAAAACCTTTTTCATCAAGACAATTACTAAGACCAAAATCTATTCAAAAAAAATTAAAGTTAATTATTTAATGAAAGTAAAATATATATTACCAATAATAATAATATCATTATTTTGATCAAGCATAAAATTTTGAAGTTTTATATCACGATGAATAACACGTGCTCGATGCATATGATCAACAGCAGAAACAATTTGTCGAATATATTTTCTTGTTTCAAGTTCATCTAATTGTTTTCTACGAAAAATTATTGTTTATATTAAAATAAATATATTTTGAAAAATTTCATTATTTTACTTTTTTGTTAAATATTTAACAAATTCATTTCCTTGTACTAAATCCATAACAATATAATAGGAATTTTCTGTTTCCATAACTTCATGTAGTTGTACTATATTTTTATGTGACATACGTTGCATCATAGATGCTTCACGACGTAAATTAGCTCGTAAATAATTTCTTTTAAAAACTTCACGCTTATTAATAACTTTTACTGCAACCTAATGGAAAACATAAATGATGAAAAGTATCTCTTAGATGAGTTATATTTACTCTCATTTCTGTGATTAGATGAACACCCAATCGTACTTTAGCAAAACTACCTTCTCCAATTGTTTTTAAGATAACATAATTTCCAACTTTTTTTCGTTTTTCATCTGATGATAAATCACCCGTTGCAGTTGTTGAGGCTTTATCAGGTGTTGTAGCTGTATTTAAATCTTGCACCATATTTATAATATTAAATAGGACATAAATTCTTTGAAGAATTAATTAAATTTGCAGATAAACCTTAAAAACCAAGGATAGATTGTAAAATATGATCTATTATTTTGTTTGTTATCTATAATAATAACCTGACGGAAAATGATGTCGAGAAAAATGCAAGCGAACATAAGGAAATGGATGCATAGAGGTGAAAATAAGTGTTTCCTGAATATGTCAACCTTCGTTGTTTATATTTGCAAGGTTTTTCTAATTATCATATTTAAATATATACAGATACACGCACATATATTGACAACGAAGTTTCTCAGATTAAATGAAATAACTATAATCAAAACAAAAATATATAAAGTATGAATAGAAAAAACTTAAATTAATAAACGAAAAATTTTTACTCAGTCAATTTCTTTTCTATTTTTTTTTGTAGAGAACCTATTAATTATATATCAACCTATTATTTAATTCGTTACATAATCTATTGGTAGTCTTTTATTAGAACAAACATTTTTGGTTGAGATGGTGACGATATATAAAATAAGTCAGGAAGATCGTGTCATATGTTATTACCATTATTATTATTATTATTAGCGGAAGAGTTTTGCGTGCCTATGTGAAATGTATTTGTATACGTATGTATGTATGTTTGAAATCGCAGAAAAAGAATAGAGTGAAAAAAAAGGACGACAACGACCAGCGATGTTGGCAGTAGAATTGAATGACTTCTCACATGCTAGAATTCATCGTCAACATACAAACATAACGGCAGTAACAGAAAAAGACGACAAAAGAAGAAGGAGTAAAAGATGCGAGTATTCACCGCTATTGAGTGTTGATTTTCACTCTTCTCTTTGCAATCGATCACTCATTCTTATGCTGCTCATAGTTGAGCTTCTTGCTACTTTTTTTCTTATGATCAATTGAGTTCTTATCGTATAGAATGTATAAGAACGATTTGTACAGCAGATGACGACAGAATGCAAAAGAAAAGAAAAAAAGAAATCAAGCGTCTATTTGAACACTCTTAGTCCTAATAATATTCAATAGAGAACAAAAGAGCGAAGTGCGACAGAAGAGACCAACGTAAAACAATGTGTCTATGTAATCGAGTTAAATTGAAATAGAAAACAATCTACAATTATTATTATAATCATTGTTAATGATTATATTCTAAAAAAAGAAAAATCATATGAATATGCACGTCGAGTTTTTCTTCTCTTTGTCAACTTTTGATAAACAACATAGTAAATAATGTAACTCTAATTGAACTTATTTTGTTATGCACATGAATTTCTCGAGAAAGAATGTTATTGAACAGGGATATATTGCTTAAGATCTACACATAAGAAGAATAACTTATGTAAGAAAAGTGTATCTAATCGATATGAAAATATGCACCTGTTGCTTTTAATTTCTAACATCGCATAATTTTCTTTTCTTATGTACTTAAATTCCTTGACGAATCTTGAAAATTATGCATATTAAACAAATGAAGAAAAAAAGAAAGAAAAAAAAAAAGAAATGTTCGATTCCGAAAAGTATTAACTTTACGTACACAATAAGTACTTACAAAAGATTTGCTTTTGCAAACTACGAACGTTTGTTTATTTGGCTCTTGTTTTAAGCTTGAAAGATAATAAATTCTCTCACTGTTTTCATCTTTCTTTCTTCCATTTTATTTATATTATTCTTTGTTCTTAATAATAGTGCAAACAATGCATATATACATATATACATATATTCGTAACAACCAGCAGAAATATTTTTAGTATTAAACTGAGAATTTTAATAAAAATATAATCTTAATCGAATTTAATATTTAAATATAGTTGATTGATTCTTACCGTTTTCATAATATGAACATATTTACAATGTGTACATATATTTAATGCATAAGTAAATGCGCCTAAATTCTTGTTAGACTCGATAAATAAAAGCTAGTTCACTTATTCTCTCCTACTCTTATCCATTCCTACAAAGCGGAGGAGGGAAAGAGACAGAGAGAGAGAGACAGAAGTAGAAAAAAAAATGACGTAGTGAGATGAACAAACAAATAAATCGAACATGATCGAACGAACAAGCGTATGTGCAACATTGTACAGAACACTTTAACCACTAGTATTCAAGGAGTAATCTCTTTCGCATCAACTACTGTATACATAACATAATCACTCTTTCGGTTTTTTTTCCTTCTTGTACTATCGGTGATATGAACGATAATTGATCAATAAGAATGTGTATGTGTGTGTGAACAGTCTAAATAAACAGACTGACTATTAACGAAAAACTTGTTGATTTTAACGAATGTCATTTTTATAGAGATATATCAAATGTTACAGATAGAGAGAGAGAAAAAAAATCTCATGAAAAAAAAACTAATTATTATGTTAAATAGATATATAGAGAAAAAAAAACAAATAATGTCAATCATTTACATTGACTATATTTATTTTAATTAACTATATGATTCATTATTACTTTTATAGAAATTATCAATATTAAAAAATATATTATTACTTACGATTAAAGAAAGAAAATGAAATGAAAGACGAAATTTTTTTTAATCTGAGAAGAAAATGAGAGAAAAAGAACATTTTATTAAGAAATTTTTTTTTGTATTACATAGTGCATCTATCAAATCTTATGTGGTTTCTTTTCGATTACTCAAAAAATTCAATGGTAACTTGTTTCGATCTTGATCTTTATTCAAAGATTTTTTTTTATTTATTTTCTAATCGTTTAACATAATCAATAATAAGCCAACTTACTATTCACTAATTATAATACATTGATAATAAAATAAAGATAGAATAATTTTAAATTGTTAAGTATAGTTAAAATTATAAGAAGTAGTTTTTAGAAGTTTACTTATACTGATATTATAATATATCGTCATCAAAATATTTTAAAAGAAAAAAACTGACTTAGAAAAATCTTATATTTGTCCTGTCATAAGCTATTTCAGATAAATAGATAATAAAATATGACATTCATCCTGATCACTATCATATTCAATAACAATCAATCGTATTAACGATGCTAATGGATGTACTACTTTCAGTTGACTTATTTCCATATTGGTTAAATATGAACTTTATATATTTGTCATCGCCCTAGTATGCGAATCACAAAAATGTGTCTACCAGAACAAAATATTTTAGTGCATAATAACTCGATGTTGTCACTTAACAACATCCAATCATTATGAGTGAAAATTTATCAGACTTCATTGTTCGTTTTGGGATATCAGAGCATAACAGCTTGTGATTCTTTTATTTGCTTATTAAAGTCAACAAAAGAAAAGTGTATGGATAAAAGCATAAGGAGAGGTCATGGTGATAGTGAGAATTATAACGATGTGAAGAGTAAAACAACTGTCACTTTCATGCTCATCCTTATTTCACATCCCTAAGATATACAGACGATCTTCACACGTTCTTTACCTTCAACTACGTTTTACTATCATTCCTAATCTCATTCATATACTTTTGTTTAGAGTAACAGTTATAAATAAATCCTTATGAATCCATGAATGCCCAATAAAATGTGCTTGAATAATTATTGAGTTGCTGAAAAAAAGCTTCACCACTACAGATCAATTCTAAGCAAAATATAGGTTCAGTCGTAAAAAAATAGTAATATTCAAGCGGAAAAAAGTCGAGAAGTCTACTCATCATAAAGATAATAGATTGGGAGAGGAAATCGAAAAGATAATGTAGGTCACTAAAAATTATAAAATATTTAGTTATTATTGGCGTTTTGAACTATCGATCAACCTATAGTTTATTAAAAGAAACCACACTTTTGATCCGTTATACTAATAATATAGTTTTTAGATCTTACTTTTTATTAATCAAAAATTATTCGAATAGTTAAGTCGTCATTGATTCATCACATGAGTATTATTAACGACGAAAATATTTTAGTTTATCAGCTGAAGTATATAAAAAATAATATTTTTGTTTTATTTCAAAAAAACAAAAGACAAGCGTCATGACGATAATATTGAATACATTTTTATTTGTTTTTCACCTTCAATATTTAATTCGTTTATTTTCTTTTTCAATTGTCATAAAATCAACGATATTCAAGAACATAAAAGAATTTTCTATAAATATTTTCTTTCAATGACATGATGCACATAAAAAGAATTTGATCTTTTGTAACTAAATTGCAATAATTATCAATTAGTGAAAGATTTGTTTACTTGAGATTTATATATGTTAGGACTTTTTTTTCATAATAGAAACTGTTTAGAATTCAAACATGTATGTCTCATATATTTGCACTTATACACAAATTATCTAATTTCAGAAGAAGAATATAATATACAGAACACCAACTGAGCAGACTATATTATTTTATTAATTTTCTATAGCATAGATATTTTCTATGATCTATATGCACAACATGAGTAATGAACAATATAAGTTTGATGAGTGTAAAAGAACAGTTTTATATTATCTATACTTAAATTTACTTATAGGAAAAAAAACGAGAGCATCTTTTGAGTATAAAATCTTAGTAGTTTTCATAAAAACAACATTACTAGACGAGATGCCTATTAATACAACTAACCTTATTGCATATTTACAGAATGCATCAACACAATCAAATCGTTATATTTCAATATTTATTTTTATTTTTGGTGTTCTTGGTAATATTCTTAATTGTATTGTTTTATCACAAGGTAAACTTCGAACAAATTCATGTTCATTTTTATTTTTAATATCATCTATTGCAAGTTTAATTTCAATTCTATCTGGTTTAACAAGTCGAATGTTAGCAGGATATGCTGTAGATTTAACAAATACTATTAGTTGGCTCTGTAAACTTCGAGCATTTGTTTTATTTGTATCACGAACTATTGCAGCATGGTCATTAACGTTAGCAAGTATTGATCGATGGTTTTCATCATCAGCTAATAGTGAATATCGAAAAAAAAGTTCATTAAAAAATTCCTATCGCAATATGTATATTATTATATTATTTTCATTTATGTTATATATTCAATTGTTTTATTGTTATGAAGCAAATTTAATTAATACACCACTTAAATGTTATGCAAAAACAGTAGCATGTCGGTTAGCAAGTGATTTATCATATGCAATTATTACAATTATAATACCAATTATGGGAATGATTTTATTTGGTTTATTGACGATTTTGAATGTACAAAAATCATATCGTCGTGTATGCATAGTTACAGTTACAAAAGTAACAAAAAATGTTCAAAATCAAAGAAAACGATGGAAAAAAGCAGATTATCATTTACTTCTAATGCTTATTGTACAAATAATTCTTTATAGTATTTTTACACTTCCACAAGCAATACAAAAAATCTATTCCACATCTACTGAAACACAAATTAAATCAGCTTTACAAAATGCTATTGAAAATCTTATTTTTAATCTTTTATTACTTTTAACTTATTTTTCAAGTGGAATGCCATTTTATATTTATACATTATGTGGTGGACAAATATTTCGTAAAGCATTAATTGATGTAATCAGAAAACTTTGCATATGTAGACGTTAAGTTTTATCATGTAATCAAGTTTTTGTTGTATTGTTTGTATCTATAGAAATTAATATTCATTAACAGTTCTTTGCAATAAAAAGTCACGCGTTGTAGATAATTTTATCATGCTTTAAATAGAATTAAATAACGGAAACGATGTCTAGAATTAAAAATTTTAAATTTTGACATGTTATAAATAGAGACAACGCTTACATCTGGATTATTAATAGTTAATTACTTTAATTACATTTGTACTATAAGAACAAGAATTCATAAATATTGTCTTCGAATGAGAAAAAACTATGACGTATATAATCAATCATTTTTTGAAAATAAATTTTTTAGTGTTCATCAAAACTTATAAGTAATATTACAGATCATCACAAAGATTTTCAATTTTCATATCTTGAAAGTTTTATTTTTTTTTAACGTTAACAGATGTCTTTAATCCAAGACAAAAATATTTCGTTCGATAGTTTTCATGAAAACTCATTTTATGAAACATTGAATCGATTTAAAGATTGTGAGAAAAAAACAAATGATGTCTTCACTGCTAGTAGAACTTGTTTCATCAATTGTAATAAATATATTTAAATTATACCATTTGTCAAATCTTTTCTATTTTTTTGGTAAATGTTTTATTACATTAAGTATTTGATCAGCAATATTCAATGTTGCACTTTTTTTATTTGGATAACTCATCAAATATGCTTCATTTAATTTATTATACTACTTTCATCCATATTCAGTATCAGTTGCTCAATAAATACTAATAAATTCTTTATCTGATTGAGTATGATTCATAAATGTATTACAAGTTTTGAATATTTTTCAAAATTATTTATTGTAAATAATGATGAATCAACATCAAATCCATTTTGTTTATTCAACATTTGAATAGCTGTAATACCTAATGGAATTGATTCATGAGATTGTATGTTTATAAACATAAACAGAAGAATATTAAAATATGAAAGATTTGTAGCCATGATATATTTTATTAAAGTTCTATTAAGAAATGATATCCTTTTATCTATTGTAGTATATTTCGTATTTCATATAAAACATCATGTCAGCAATGAGTAAATATATATTTAAAAAAAACAATGATATAATTTTTAGATGTTATATGTCATCTTTGATCCTTTTTTTTGCGTATACGTATATATAGAAAGCGAAAAATATAATCAATTTAAGTGATATTATTTATAATAAATAAAACTATGTTTACTATATTTCCAATGATTCTTGTTAAAGTTCAATTACAAACAACTCCATTAAACCAAAAGATTTGTTATGAAGTTGTAATTTCTCCAGATAAAAATCCTTTTTAGAGTCCATCAGATTTAGATATGAATATAGATTGGATAATCAAATGTGGTGATATTGTAGCATATAAACTACAATCATCTACAATTTTTTAATAGTCTGATTGTTATCTGACTAGTATGAACGATTCACAATCAACAAATAATAATGGACCAACACGAATGTAATCTTTATTTTCGAAGTATTATCGCATCTTGATTATATGGAAATCAAACCAATATAAATTAAAAAATGATAAATGTTAATAAAAACTATTTTTTTCCTCTACATAACAATAAAATTGACTTAATACAACTTAATGTTATATACATGTGTGTCATTGAAAAGATAATTCAATGTCATAAAAATACATGCACTATTTAACTATCGTGAGTACGTTCCTAATGATGCGATTGTTGAATACGACAAAGTTATTTTTGAAAATTTTAACAATATATTTACTTCGAGTAGAAAAATGGATTTCAGATTCATAATCAACATTAAAAAGTAAATCGATTAGACTATTTTTTAAACATTATTATATTCTCTCATATGGCATCAGCTTAATTAAACAATAATTTTTACACTAACATCCTATAGCAGATTCATTGTACTCTCTATGGGCATCACAGAAGCAATTTATTTTCATATGTATATACATGATCGTGTAGAAGTTTTCAAGGACTGCAAGCAGTGGTGGAATCAGAAGGTGGAAAGCATGAGCTCAGCTCGATCCCCTTCTTCCATCTGCATTTTCATGTCATTCACTATGGGTATTAATAAACGTTATTTATGTTCAAAAATTTTGGCATCATAAAAGTTATCTGTATGTATTTGTATGTTCTTTAATGACTTATTTTTAATTTATATCACCGACATAAATATTTTATCTTCTTTCTATTGATAGTTTTCACTTTAAAATATAAAAATTTTACTCAATTTTCTCAACATACACAATTCTTAAGCAACTTTAATCAAAACCTTATACTCAATTTGTTTAATTAAAACTATTACGGTACTAATTTTTACAACTTTACAAGAATTTTCTTATCAGACAAATAATAATAATAATAGAAGCACATGCGAATTGATTACACACAAATCTCTGTTGATTTTATTTCATACTCAAACTGACACAATACATACATTTTAACAAGAAAAGTAAATGATGATTTTTTTTTGTTTTAGAAAATATTTTTTAATCTATATGCGTTTATGATTCGTATTATTGTTATTATTAATATTATTTTTGTTTATCTTTAACAAAAACTATTATGAGATATATTCAAAATACACATGATTATATGTTCAGAAGACATTATGTCTAGTTATTTCTTCTAGCAATATATATATACATATATGTAAAGAGAGAACGAAAGAGAAAGATGGAACTATTTCACATCTATTAATTCAATTTTTTTATTTAGATCCTAATAATCATTCATGTATCAAATCGAGTATCTTCAATGTTTTTGTCTCATAAAAAAACGAAAACAGTCGTTCTGAAAGCTAGTATATCTCAATATAAAACACAACTAATCATTCTTTTTGTCAATATTAAAAAAAGGATGACCATATTTATCTCTTTCTCCTTTGTTATAGTATAACATAAGATAAAAAATATACAATTTTATCAAACTTTTATTTTATTGTAACAATTTATAACATAGGAAAATATTGGTGACATTTTTCTGAAGAAAATGATTGATCTAGATCAAGATCTTTGACTCTACTAAAGTTAAAATATGTTGTATCAATGGTAAAATTGTTTGTTATCATTATAAGTGATTCATATTTGATGTCAAGGTTAAATAAATAAGGTAGATAACTTACTTTCTTCAAGAGAAATTGTTCAGCATAATCGTCATGTGCCAATCTTAGATCAAGATGTTTAAGATGATGAAAAGTAATTAATTCAGTAGATGAATACTGTTTATATTTTTGTGGTTTATTATTACGTATATGCAAAATTTCGATAAAAGGTATATCATGAGAGATAATTTGAAAGAATTGATATTCAAAAGGAATCACATCAATAACTACCAAATATCGAACTGAATGAAACATGCCTCCTGGAAAAGAATTATTGATTTCAAGTAAATATTCGAATTGATATGGAAGTGAATAAATATGACATTTTGATTGGATACGTGAATTAATATTAATATATGAATCAATTTGTTTATATATTTCTTTTCCAATAAAACTACGTTGAATATCTTCATTTGATGAAAAACTAATATTATTATTACGTCTATAAACAATTGTCTGAATATTAAATGTAAATTTAATTAACTTATTCATATGACAAAGAAGTTCATTATATAATTGAATACCATCAACATAATTTAAATTATATACTTTTATTAATAAATATAATTTTAATTCTTCAAGATTTATCATTCGACGAATAAATGGAAAAATTTGAGTATCATGTTGATCTGTGTATTCAGGTGAAATGAACGACAAATATTTTAATTTGGGAAGTTTTTTCTAAAAAGAATATTAATATTGAAAATACCTTTGAAGATTTATTTATAAAAAAGATGATCAAATTTAAATACATACTGTATTATTTATGTGTCGTATCGGATAATAAATCAATTCAACATGAACAATTAATGTTGTTAAACATTCAAAATCTCCACTAAGAAGAAACAAACATTCAGTAAATGTTCGAAGATTAATTTTTAATTTAGTTAAAGTTGAAGACATAAAACTTGTTTCTGTTAAGTGAGAAAAATGATTCCAATGTTTTCGTTCAAAAAATAAATCACAAAAATTTAATTCAATTAATTTTGAACACAAAGATAAAATTAGTACAAAAATTTTTGTTGTAATTATAGTCGATTCTCTTTTTGCATTCTTTATATCAATGGTAAGATGTGTTATTTGTTTACTAAGCAAATCACGAAGAATGGAATCATCTACAATTTAAAAGAAAAACAATTATTATTATTTTCTTAATTGAATACTTTACCTGTTAAATACTGATCAAGTATTTTTCCTTCAAAATTAATAAGTGATAATGAATATAGTTGAGGATAATTAGTTGCATGAAGAATACGTTTCATTGAATATTGTTCAATAGTAAGTGTATTTATTCGATTATAAATTCGATATAAGATTTGATCACATATTCTTGAAAGAATTTTATCATCTATTGAAAAGGTCTGATCATATAATGATTCAAATGTTCTAATAGTCATATTAAGATTACGAATAGTGAGAGGGCCAAGTACTAATTGATCAAATCGTTGATGAACATCCACAAGTGAATATAGAACGTCAACTATATTCATTTTATTACAAATAATAAGTAGTATTTCATTGGGTAAATCGAGTATATTCAAGCATTTGCTCATCTTTAACTGATACAATGTATTATGCCAATCTATATATATATATTTGCTTTTTCTTCTTTCTGCCTTATATGAGAACAATGAAGAGTCAACGAATATTGACGCCGTCATGTTACTTTATTATCAATAGACGATACGCATTTTTCTTTTGATTCTATGGTTAATACTACAGGTTATGTGATGTTACTCTATTAGTTATGAAATATTTTGTACAAATATATGTTTTCTATTAGAATAAATGTTTCTTATTAATGAGATATTGTTATTTCATTGTGAACATAATATTTGACTCAATTTTCATAAGATAATACAAAAGAATATTTATACTGGAATGACAACTGAAGCGTATTGCATTACTTTCTATCGTTGATTCATATGCCTGACGTTCTCATTGTCAGGATTGTTTGATAGTATTTTTTCTATGAAAAAATAATAACAAATAAATGAACAACCTCTTCTATTTTATACAAAATTTATTGATTTATATAAACATAAATGTTTATGTACTATTAAATCAACACCCTTCGTGTTTGTAAGTATCATGAATACTAGACACGTCTGAAAATCTATAACATATAATGTATGAAAAAAATATGAACTTTTATAATGTAGTTTACGCATGAATTAAAATTCAGTTAATCTTATTAGGCATTTATAATTGTATCGATATTTATTATAGAAAAGGAAAAACAAAAAATATTCTTTTTTTTATCTACATCCACATTCTTGTACAATCATATCTCGATGATATTTAATAACAAGTTCATCACGATCATAATAAAGTAAACATAATGGTTTTAATCGTACGGGTACACATAGAGCTTGTTGTTCATGTTGTTTTTGTGAACGTATAAGGCTAAGTAATATAGCATGATTTGATGGATAATATTGTGGAGATAATGGATTTGGACATGAACCAGAACATGTATATGCATTAAAACGTTTTGGTTGTAATATCCATTTACCAAATGAAAATTGATTAAAATCAATTTCATATTCATGTTTAGCACATGTTACACTTGGATTAGTTGGTAATATTGTTCGTCGAAAACGTCGTTGAATATGTTTTGTTGGTGAAAATGAAAATAAATTTTTATTTGATTTAGAATAATAGAAAAGAGAAATATTTTGTTGTTCAACTAAATTTGGTAAGATTATATAAATAAATCGTTGATGATGATTATTTAAAAAATGAGTAAGATCATAGGATTGAATTGAATTTGATGAAGTTGATATTAATGGTAAACGATATTTTCGATGCTGACCATATTTTCCTAATCGAACATAAATAGATGATATATTACATCGTAATTCAATTAATGCTATTTGTTCATTAAGATTCTTTTTTATTCGAATACCAAATGAAATTCTATTATTTGGAACTATAAAAGAAAAAGGAAATATATTTCAATTATTTATATTATTAAACAAACCTTTATATGAAACCATTCGAACAGTATTGATATGTTTAAGTTTTATTTGTGTATTAATATCAAATGATGTTGCTTTTAAAAGTGATCCAGATTTATTAATTTTATTATAAAGATCAATTAATGTTTCAGTTGAATTTTCTACAGCTAAGATAATACGGAAAAGTATTCCAGTAATAATTAGAATGCGTAACATTATTTTATTTTCAGATTGTATGAGAAAAATATAGTCATCTCATTTGTTTATATACATTCAAGTAGGATTAAATCTTTCATTGGGCCACATCGGTGTTGAAGAAAAAACATAAGATAAGAAGATATACATACATTTGCTCATCTTTTTTTTCGTATATCTTGTTCATGAACGCGTTTATTGATAAAGAGAAAGGGAAAAAGACCACATCGATTTGAATACAAAGATAAGATGAAAATGTTGGGAAACAATTTTATTAAAAATGACAAGATAATATTTTGACTTTCTCACTGTAAGAGAAATATAGTTTGTATTATAAATAAATTTTATATAAATTTTAGCCACATAAATTTTACGCAATAGGAATAATTCGATCTCATCTTTCAATTATTTCCTACTGATAACCGATGAGAGAATTAAAGAATAAATCTTTCGGCTAAAATTTTCAAAGAAATTCAGTGAAAAAGAATTATCTGTTCTCTTTCTTGATATTGAAACTTAATTTTTCGACGAACGGAGACATTATCGTATTAGAGTTATTCATCATGTTATCGTATATTGTTATCAAATGTGTTTTTTTTCGAAGAAAAATGGCTACGACTAATAATTGATATATTGATTAATTGGCATTCTATTTTTATTCTTATCTATTAAGATATTATATATACATAAACATATATATATATATATATGATAGCATGTCTAATCGTCATTTTACTTTGTTTGCATAAGTAATTTTCTGTTGTTGTTCGAAGGTACTTATATTTCTAACGAAGATGAAATCAATGTCAGTCATATAATAATCATTGAAGAAAGTAAAAGCTTTCTGACGTTATCGAAACAGATTCTTCAATTTTTCTTGTTGGTAAAATAAAAATGATTCATATATACATATCAACAATGACTCACTGACTATTGCAACAATATAAAGATGATAAAAAAAAAATACGTGTTGCATTATTTATAACTTGTAATAAAAATTTCTTCTCATGGCTACTGCATCTACAGATCTATCTATTCAATGTATGCACGGTCAAGCTGGTAATAATGATTGGAAATTACCACGCCGTATAGCGAAATGTGATAAAAAAGCAAGACCAGATATGTACGGCGAAATTGATGCTAGCGAATATTTAGATGATGATACTGTACTTGATGCAAAACTTGATATAGTAATTTCATTAATTCGACAAAGTCAACAATTTGTTGTTTATACTGGAGCTGGTATTTCAACATCATCTGGTATTGGTGATTATGCATCGAAAGCATCAAATTCTATAGTTATGCGTGAAACAAGTGTTAATCGTTTGAAAGCTGTACCAACACTAACTCATCATGTATTAGTTGCACTTGAAAAGAAAAAATATCTTAAACATTGGGTACAACAAAATCATGATGGTCTTGCACAACGTGCTGGATATCCACAAGCGAAATTAAATGAAATTCATGGATCATGGTTTGATAAAAAGAATCCTGTTGTTTTAATGGATGACAACCTTAAACCAGAATTGTGTGAATTGTTACATGAATGGGCACAAAAATCAGATTTAGTACTTGCTATGGGATCATCTATGTGTGGTATGCAGGCAGATAATATTGCTACAAGAGTTGCTGAAAGAGAAGGAACACTTGGTTTAATTATTGTTAATTTACAAAAAACACCACATGATCATCGTGCAAAAATAAGAATTTTTGCTCCATGTGATAAAGTTATGGCTTTATTAGCAAAGAAAATGAAATTGAGAATTCCTAAAAACTAAATAAAATCAATTTTAAGAACTGTATATCTTTCGTGCTTTATTTTTCAATGTAATTTTTAAAAATTTTTATCGTTAATACAAACACAAGTATCACAAAAAAAAAGAACATACTGTTTAATACCTTATAGAAGATATGAAAGTATCGTAATCATAACCGCTGTACATTTGAGATTTTTTTTTCGTTTTAGTTTTTAACTTATGTCAATATATAATTCAGAATATTCGTCTTCGATCATACCTAAAACGATTCACGCATGAGTGTGTATCACGTGCAAAAAAAAACGCGAGAAAAATCAACCGAGAAAAGAAAAAAAGTACAGTGCAAAAAAAAAGAACTAAACAACGAATACTTGCATAAATGATGTTTTCACCATTCTATACTCATCTTATTCTAATAGTATCGTGTGTAGTATTTATATTTTCATATTTTTCTTATATTAAACGCATCCAAACTTATCAACAATCATTACAGTTAACTTCAAAATTATTAACTTCGACGTCTAATGATTTTCAAAATCAATTTTCATCAATTAATCTTACAACTAAATCTATTACAGATACTACAGATGAAAAACTTCTTCGAGAAAAAATCCTTGGTTCAAGTGACATAAATCATTCAATGTTGAGTCGTTTTAAATTTATTAATCCACCAAAACCAGTTTGTAATTATCCAAAATATACACAACAATTCATGATAATTGTTGTTCTTTCACGTGGAATTAATTTTGATTATCGTCAAGTAATTCGTGCGACATGGGGTCGAAATGGAAAATATAAAAACTATAATATCTTTATACAAACAATATTTTTTGTTGGAACAGATGATACTGTACAGTTAGCTGTACGAAACGAACAAGCAATGTTTAATGATGTAGTTGAAATGAGTAAGTTGAATATTATTTTAAAATCTTTTTTTCCAATGGGAAATGAAGTTCTATATAACTTACTTTTTTCTATTGACTAGATATACCAGAAAATTATCCATTTGTCGCTCATAAAGAATTAGCATCTTTACTATGGACACGTTATTATTGTCCATTAGCACGTATTATATTTCGTGCTGATGATGATATATTACTTGATACATTTTTATTATTAAATTATATTCAACATACATTAAATCTGGATGCTAAAGATGGTTTACATGGTTGGTTTCGTTTTAATAATACAGTACATCGGGCAGATAAATGGGCTGTTACTAAACTTGAATATCAACCAAAAATATATCCACCGTATACATTTGGTATAAGTTACCTTTTTTCAAATGTATCATGTCAACGCTTAATAAATGCAGCTAATCATCCTAATCATCAAATAATACGTATAGGCGATGCGTATATAACAGGTATTCTACGTGATTTAGCAAATATACCATTTTATGATTTTGAAAATCTTCAATATGCGTATACATTTTATACAGAAATTCCATGTGATAATTATTTTGAAACTAAATCTGATTTATTACTTTGTATGTCAAAATTACATATAGGACAACGTGGTGATCCATATGAATTTTATGATATTTGGGAAATTATTTTAGCTAAACATAATAGATCAATGTTAAATATTTGAGTATGAACAGATACAAAAAGAAACCAACCACAAAGATAAAATAAAATAGAAAAATTTATTATTCAATTTCATGTTGTTTTGTTTTTAATATGTATGAATGAAAAAGAATAAACAATTATGGCAGACATTTTATATTATTTTTAGTTTTGAATGTATGTTCATTCAGTTATACGAACTGAATGAGAATTTGTAATAAAACAAGGATATTTGAAACAATCATATATATTTCTTATAATATATTTTCAACGTTAATAATCTATTGAAAAATGACGAGTAATTCAAGCAATTTACTTTTGTAATTCTGATAGAATATGATACGATACATGTTCTTGAACGAAGACATGTATAGAATAAAAATTATCATGCAACGTTTATCATATGTGTTATATGTCATGGATTTTATGATTCATAGATAAATACACCGAGTGCGTAATTTTAACGATGTTAGAAAAACACATGATAAATTGATGATAATTGTGATAATATTGAATATCATTAGTCGGAAGTATAATATAGATTAGATACATGTTTTCAGTCATTCTATCGTGCACTTTTAACGCTTCATATCTTTCAATGATGCATAACTAACTAAAATTTGGAAAAAATCCATATTTTGTGTTCTATGAAGTGTTATATTAAGGACAATCGAAAAAGTGTACCTTGCAATGATGTGTAACTAAAAGAGTGACGATGTCATCAATAAGCAGAGTCAAGAGAAAAAAATGAAAAACAAGGACTAACTTTTCTCTCTTTTCTATTAAACCATATCTCTATTACAATAAACGCTTGTTGCTTCAATCTTTTTATATGTATAATAATCGATTGAATACTATTCTTAATTATACAGATTATCTTTGGAAACTGATTTTAATATCATTCTATACACTTAAAGGTGACAAATATTCAATAGCAAATTTACATAACAAGAAGAATCGCACCTATCAAAAACATAATTATTTCTGCCGATTTTGTTCTGTATTTAATTGCGTATGTGTTTTGTTTCTATTTTTTATTATACATTTAATTAGAAGTTTTTCAATATCAACATATCCAGAAATACTTCAAACCTATGACGTTCATAGATTAAAATATTTATCAGAAAATGAAAGTATGACTTATAATATTTATAGAAATAAGATACATTATATTTATATTGATATCGGTTGTTTTAATGGTGAAGCAATTGAACATTTTATTTATTTTACTCCACAAAGTATATTATATGATATAATTACATTTGAACCTGATCCAATTAATTATCAATTATGTAAACAAAAATTATCACAAGCAAAATATCGAGATTATAATATATTTATTATTCCTAAAGTTGTTTGGATATATAATGGAAAAATTTCTTATCAAATTAATCGAGGACAAAAAAGTGGAATATATAATAATAAAACTGGTAAGAAATTCAGATTATCTGATTTATCTCAATATCGTGATAGATGATATATCAGTTCTGTTTGTCTTTTTTCTTTTGTTTAGAAGATACGCAAAGTGTAGTCGAATTAGATGCTATCGATTTTTCATCATGGCTTTCCAATTTAGTTACTTTAAATAATACAAAAGTGCATATTAGATTAACTATGCCTGGTTTTGAAACAAGATTTCTTCGAAAATTAGTTGTTGATAATACATTATTATTAGCTAATAGATGGGATGTTGAATGGTCATCTAGATCAGATCCTTCTGTATATCCAGAGCATGTTTATCTTCACTTAATGTTTGATTCGTTTGGTTTCACTTGTATTGGTTTTACACACTTACAAAATATACGAAAAATATTCAAAATGAAGCAACCATATGCTAATGTTACAATATATTATAATTTAAGTCAATTACCTCAGACTGATACCTACTCTCATTATGTTCAACGACCTGATATCGGTGAATCACCACGTACACTCAAACCTGTAGTAAAATTAAAGACAATTTGAGAATGCTTTTTTTTTTAAATTTTATTCTAATAATAACAAAGAAAAAAAACAAACAAATTATTTGTTCCTAATTCTCTTTTAACTTGAACGTGGGTCATAATAATCAGGCAATGGTTCATTTGGACCAACAGTTGGACGCATAAGCCATGGTCGTTTATAATGTTTAAAATTAATTTTAAACATAAGAAAACGAATACGTGTGATTAAATCTGAATAGCGTTGAGGTTGATTTTCTTCCAAATATTTCCCTTGAAATTTTAGTCGACGTAATAAATGTTGTAATTCATTACCTTGAAAACCACGTAACCAAAACGGAGCATTACGAACTAATTGCCAATGTTCAACATTTTCATCACCAAGAATATCTAGAATAAATTTTATATGTAAATACAATATTAGCATATATTTATATTATCTCTTTTCTCCTCTGATGGATTACTTTTGAGTTCTTACGAAGAAGCCATATTCAAACTCGAATATCTTGATTAAGAAATAGATAACTTATCACATCCTTTACATAATGCTTGAAAGACCTTTTAAATTCTCATTAACTGGATGCTGAATTTTTCAAAATATAATTTTCATTCTTTTATAATCAACAAAAATTTACTTACCAATATAATCATTCTGTCCAAATGTAGCTGCTTCTAAAGTCCAGTCTTTTGGATCAATAAATGGTGGTAAATAATCAGGTGGATCTTTCAAATGTGATGCTCGTGGAAGATAACCTAAGAACAAAAAGTAAAAATAGTTTTTCATTTTCACTATAATAAATAATAGAAAAATTAAAATACCTCCTTGATAATGTTTTGGTTGATAACCATAACTTTTAACATATTCTCCAAAACGTTTAAATGTTCGGACGGAAATAATCAAATGACTATTCGAAATTGTTTTTGGAAGACAAGATTGAATGAACATATCTTGAAAATAAAATATGATTCATTTTTTCTATAACATATTCTTTTCTTTTATTCAATGTAAATTCATAATTAATAATAATAAACAACAAAAACTTTACAATAAAATGAACGAGAAAAAAATGCTTTTTCAGTTTTAAACTGATAATGTTGTTGTTACAGTTTTTGAAATGAATGTATAGAAAAGTTTTGAGAAAAACTTTAAGCCACGTGTACCACCAGGAATATATGAAACAACATACCTAAATAAAAATAAATTTATATAAAAACATAGTAAAAATAGAATAATTATTTACCAAACAAGAGCACCAAATTGTAAAAGAGCAAAGATAATTGTAAAGAAATAACTTTTAACCTAAAATAAATTAATGAGGAAATTTAAAAAAAAATCGAGCCAGGTGGCGGGTGCTAGCCGCCATGCCTTGCCTGGTGTTATCGTATAGGTCCGAAGACCTTCCGTCCTTGTCAAGGGGAGTGCTAACCGTCTCTCCTTTTCTACGACACAAACTTTTATCCGGCCAAAGTTTTCTTTTATACTGAACTAATTACTTAGAAAGATTGCGGTGAATGTTCATATAGGAATAGGCACGAGAGCTAGTGACATCTTACAACAACAAAAACAAAATCGAAAATATTTACCCATACTGAATAATATATAGTACCAACAAGTGTTAGTATATATACTATAGTAAATGGGAGACGATCAGTATTTGTTAAATGTTTAAAATGATTTGTTGGTCCCCATAACATTGAAAAACTAAAAGAAATTTAATTCAATGTATAAATTTAAAAAACTAAAATATGTATATCTATTTATACCTTGAAAGAAAAAATACACTACCAAATGAAAATAATAATGCAAATTTTCTTGCTTTCAATACAATGACCGGAATAAAAAGTGTTGCAAATGACATACAAAATACACCCAATGCAAGACATATCATAAAGCCAAGAATACGTTGTTTACGAGTCTAGATTAACAATAATCATATAAAATAAAAAATATAAAACTAATTTAGTAGTTTTCAAAATGTAATCTCATATACATATATATAAAAGATATATAGAATTGAATTTCGAGATAGTGTAGTCTTTTATTAAGGAAATTAATGATGCCGATCGAAGCGAAGAAATTACAGATTTATGAAAATCATTTCTTTTTTTTTGATTTCCTGTCGTGTACATTATGCTGAGACAACGTCTTGTCTTTTATCAAACTGAAGTAATCTTCAATACTCTTGAGATACATTTAGAGTTCACTTATCTTCGTTTCCTGTCAAAAGCAAATTATATCATATTGTTATAAAATATTCTTTGAGTTCATCTAGGCACAAAAATAGAATCTTACCAATGCTGGTAAGATTGGATCATTGTCACCTTTTTGTAATAATATTTGCATGTCATCTGAACTTGATGATGATGATGATAATGAAGCATCTGAACGTTTATTAAAAAAACTTTGTACACGATTTACATTTGTTTGAAATAAATCTCGTGAAAATATTGCACTAGACCATGATTGACCATTATCATTCGTACCGCTGTTATCATTATTATTATTAGATCCATTGACAAAACTTTGTAAACGAGAATATTTTGCTTCCATCTACAAAAATTGATAAGGAAAATTCAATTGTTTTTGCTTAAAAGATATTTATTCATTTTTTCTACTCATAAAAATTTTTATTGAAAAGATGGGTATAAGAGAAAAGGAAAATTGACAAAAAAGAAAAAAGAATTTTTGTTAACACATACATAAAATATTGATCGTATAAATATGAACAACTGCATTCCACACATATAGGAAAAGAAGAAAAAAAAACGAAGAAAAATATTTTGTTTTTTCAAAAATTAATTAGTGTTTAAGATATTTTATTTCTATAATTCTTCTTGCAAATTTTTCAATAACTCGGTAGCACATCAGATGGGATGCAACACATATATACTTGCAACTGTTTTATCAATTAACTGTACTCAGATCTTTTCTTAATATAATTTTTTTTTTATAATGGTAGACTAGAAATTTAAAAGAGGAAAAGAACACGAAAAAAGAAAAAAGAAACCGATATTGTTTGACTATAGAGTGACTATTTTGATTTTTCAGCTCACAAGTGTTAGTAGTAGAAACCCACCACCCAGGAGATATATATGTTTATATATATATATGTATATATATGTATAAATACGTGTACACATACAAGCACACTGTTCGGAGAAGAAGAAGAAAAAATAAAAAGTAGAAGACAACACCGAAGAAAAAAAGTCACCGAAAAACATAAGGAAAAAAAAATAGTTCAGAATTAGTACTGTACAAACAAGATTAGATATATCAGTGAAAGATGATATAATAATCAGCGAAAATCGAATGCTTATTTTTTTGACTATTAATTATCGTTATACAGATGATGATGGAAATCGAGCCATTGGTGTTTCATCTTGATAATTGAGACTGTACTCGAGCATCTATATTAACAAATAAATAAATAAATAAATGATCAATATTTTCTTAGAATATAAATGAAGTAAACGATCAATATTTTTT